CACTGTTGGTGCCACGAACACAGGCATTTCACTGCACCCGCGATAACATCTGCAAAATACAGTGCATTTGGATAGTATTCAGACCCGTTGACTTTTTCCACATTTTGTTACGTTACAGTCATTCTAAATTTACACACAATACCACATAATGGCAAAGTGAAAACTGAAATACCTTATTTACATAAGTATTCAGACCCTTTGCTGTGAGACTCGAAATTGAGCTCAGGTGCATCCTTCCAGAAGGACAACCATCTCTGCAGCACCAATGAGGCCTTAATGGTAGTGGCCAGATGGAAGCCACTCCTCAGTAAAAGGCACATGACAGCCCGCTTGGAGTTTACCAAAAGGCACCTAAAGGACTCAGATCATCAGAAACAAGATTCTCTGGTCTAATGAAACCAAGATGGAACTATTTGGCCTGAATGCCAAGCGTCACGTCTGGAGGAGCATGGTGGTGGCAGCATCATGCTGTGGGGATGATTTTCAGCGGCAAGGACTGGGAGACTAGTCAGGATCGAGGCAAAGGTGAACGGAGCAAAGTACAGAGAGATCCTTGATGAAAACCTGCTCCGGAGCGCTCATGACCTTAGACTAGGGAGAAGGTACACCTTCCAACAGGACAACAACCCTAAGCACACAGCCAAGACAATGCAGGAGTGGCTTCGGGACAAGTCTCTGAATGTCCTTGAGTCGCCCAGCCAGAGCCCGGACTTGAACTCGATCGAACATCTCTGGAGAGACCTGAAAATACAGTGCCTTGCAAAGGTATTCATCCCCCTTGGCGTTTTTCCTATTTAGTTGCATTACAACCTGTAATTTAAATGGATTTCTATTTGGATTTCATGTAATGGACATACACAATATAGTCCAAATTGGTGAAGTGAAATGAAAAAAATAACTTGTTTCAAAAAATGCTAAAAAATAAATAATGAAAAGTGGTGCATGCATATGTATTCACCCCCTTTGATATGAAGCCCCTAAATAAGATCTGGTGCAACCAATTACCTTCAGAAGTCACATAATTAGTTAAATGAAGTCCACCTGTGTGCAATTTAAGTGTCACATGATCTCAGTGTATATATACACCTGTTCTGAAAGGCCCCAGAGTCTGCAACACCACTAAGCAAGAAGCACCACCAAGCAAGCGGCACCATGAAAACCAAGGAACTCTCCAAACAGGTCAGGGACAAAGTTGTGGAGAAGTACATATCAGGGTTGGGTTATAAAAAAATATCAGAAACTTTGAACATCCCACGGAGCACCATTAAATCCATTATAAATTTTTTAAAAGAATATGGCACCACAACAAACCTGCCAAGAGAGGGCTGCCCACCAAAACTCACGGACCAGGCCAGGAGGGCATTAATCAGAGAGGCAACAAAGAGACCAAAGATAACCCTGAAGGAGCTGCAAAGCTCCACAGCGGAGATTGGAGTATCTGTCCATAGGACCATTTTAAGCCGTACACTTCACAGAGCTGGGCTTTATGAAAAATGCCATTGCTTAAAGAACAAAATAAGCACACATGTTTGGTGTTCGCCAACAGGCATGTGGGAGACTCCCCAAACATATGGAAGAAAGTACTCTGGTCAGATGAGACTAAAATTAAGCTTTTTGGCCATCAAGGAAAACGCTATGTCTGGCGTAAACCCAACACCTCTCATCACCCCGAGAACACCATCCCTGGTGGTGGCAGCATCATGCTGTGGGGATGTTTTTCATCGGCAGGGACTGGGAAACTGGTCAGAATTGAATGAATGATGGATGGTGCTAAATACAGGGAAATTCTTGAGGGAAACCTGTTTCAGTCTTCCAGAGATTTGAGACTGGGACGGAGGTTCACCTTCCAGCAGGACAATGACCCTTAGCAAGAGCAACACTCGAGTGGTTTAAGGGGAAACATTTAAATGTCTTGGAATGGCCTAGTCAAAGCCCAGACCTCAATCTAATTGAGAATCTGTGGTATGACTTAAAGATGGCTGTACACTTGAAGGAGCTGGAGCAGTTTTGCCTTGAAGAATGGGCAAAAATCCCAGTGGCTAGATGTGCCAAGCTTATAGAGATATACCCTAAGAGACTTGCAGTTGTAATTGCTGCAAAAGGTGGCTCTACAAAGTATTGTCTTTGGGGAGGTGAATAGTTATGCACGCTCATGTTTTTTTATTTTTTATAATTTTTTATTTCTTGTTTGTTTCACAAGAAAAAATATTTTGCATCTTCAAAGTGGTAGGCATGTTGTGTAAATCAAATGATACAAACCCCCAAAAAATCAATTTTAATTCCAGGTTGTAAAAATAGGCGACAAAATAGGAAAAATGCCAAGGGGGTGAATACTTTTGCAAGCCACTGTAGATGTGCAGCGACGCTCCCCATCCAACCTGACAGAGCTAGAGAGGACCTGCAGAGAAGAATGGGAGAAACTCCCAAAATACAGGTGTGCCAAGCTTGTAGCGTCATACCCATGAAGACTCAAGGCTGTAATCACTGCCAAAGGTGTTTCAACAAAGTACTGAGTAAAGGGTCTGAATACTTATGTAAATGTGATATTTCCGTTTTTTATTTGTAATAAATTTGCTTTGTCATTATGGGGTATTGTGTGTAGATTGATGAGGGGGAAAAAACGATTGAATCCATTTTTGAATAATGCTGTAACGTAACAAAATGTGGAAAAAGTCAAGGGGTCTGAATACTTTCCGAATGCACAGTATGTGTCCGTGACCAATAAAATGTTTTTTCATTTGCACAAAGCCACACAAACAACACGCTCACAATCATACTGCTGTGGGAAAGCACCTGTTGATGCTCATGAACTCTATTTATGCACTCTACACATAGCCTAAAGACATTTACACACATACATGCATACTCTTCAGGCCTGAGTCTATCTGAGGTAATTTACAGTGTGATTTAGGGACACAAGGGAGTCATTGTAGCCATGGACAGTTAGGCAGCAGCACACACACGCCTGGCTGAAACCTGAGATGCTGGCCCTCCGAAGAGCCCGAGCTGCAGGGGATCACACCCCATATCTACACAACCTGGAGATGAACCTCTCTGACACACACATGTACACACACACCCCAGGAAAAATTCTGCCTTCTATCTGGTTTTATACTAATCTAAAACTATTGAGACTTGCTGTCCAAACTGAATATGGGGTGAGGACAATTGTTAGCAAAATTATTATAAGCAGCAAATACATCCCCTCAACAACAGTTACTTTCAGTGCTATAATGACATTTCACAGTCTGTTAGGATTTATCATCTGTGGTCTAGACATGCTGCTACAGATGTAGGATCTTAATTTGATCACTCTGTTGGACAATAACTTAATGGAAAATGGAAAACATATAAAACTTGTAGTGTATTTGACGTTTAAAAAGGCTTCTGAAGTTTGTAATTTCTACTTAGAAATTTCAGACTTGATTTTCCCTTACGAAAAAGTTTTCAACCCATACAAAAATGTCCATTCATTATAATCCACATAATAATTCACATTTCCTGTTCAGATCTGACATTTGCAGATATCTCTGACCACTTTCGGAAGTGGAGGACATTTGCATGGTCTATTTGCATCTGTGAAAGTCTATACCAGCATCTACTGTGCTTCTGCAAAACTATTTGCATGTATGTATCGCATAGTCCTGTCAAGCTTTTATACGAACTTGCTGGACGCTCAAGGCTATCTCTTCCATCCGACCAAATGCTTTCTGTGTACTTAAACTTAACAAAATGTCCAAGCAACCAAACTAAATCCTGCTATTGTGAATATTGGAAAGGATGAAAAACGTGTCTAGATCAGTTGGATTGGGTTACAGAGAAACAAGTGTGGCAGGTAGCTTAGTGGGTAAGAGTGTTGTGCCAGCAACTGAAAGGCCGCTGGTTCTAATCCCCGAGCCGACTAGGTGAAAAATCTGTCGATGTGCCCTTAAGCAAGGCACTTAACCCTAATTGCTCCTGTAAGTCGCTCTGGATGAGTGTCTGCTAAATGACAAAAAAAATAAAACAACATTAGTCATTGCTCTATAGTCTGTCCTGACAGAAACTGACCAGTGCACAATACATTTGGTTTCAATATCATTTAAATTATTAAAGGATGTGATGTTAGTATCTTTGTAAAATATAAATAATTTAGAAACAATTGCATGCCATTAATTATTGTGTGCAATTAATGTAAACTGAAATGATTTAGTTTGACAAAGACTATTTTATTAAAGTGTTTAAAGTTATGCCTGTGAGCCAGTGGTGGATAAAGTACCCAATTATCATACTTGAGTAAAAGTAAAGATACCTTAATAGAAAATTACTCAAGTAAAAGTGAAAGTCACCCAGTGCAATACTACTTGAGTAAAAGTCTAAAAGTATTTGGTTTTAAATATACTTAAGTATCAAAAATAAAAGTATAAATAATTTGAAATAATTTTAAGTATATTTAAAAACAAATACTTTTAGACTTTTACTCAAGTTGTATTTTACTGGGTGACTTTCACTTTTACTTGAGTCATTTTCTATTAAGGTACTGTATCTTTACTTTTACTCAAGTATGACAATTGGGTACTTTTTCCACCACTGTCCTGTCCTGCTAAGCATTTGTATTTATATTTATTAAGGATCCTAATTAGCTGCTGCCAAGGCAGCATCTACTCTTCCTGGGATCCAAACACATTAAGGCACTTACATCCCACATTAAAAAATGTAACGCATATTATTATTTTTTTAAATGAATGAAGTGAAGGAAAAGTAAATGTTGTTCAAAATACAAATAGTAAAGTACAGATACCCCCAAAACTACTTAAGTAGCACTTTAAAGTATGTTACACCATTGAGTAGGCCTGTCAAACAAAATATTGAGTTGATGGACGGTCTATGTAAGTGCCTACTGAACATGTCACAGGAACACAATGGATGCTCAGAGGACATGAATGTGTCTCATTTGCAAGGTAAATCTACAGAGACACAATGTCAACAGTATATCACCTAGTGCTCATAGTTAACTGGAACAGGAGTTGAGAGTGATAACAACATTTTCAGCCATGACTCTCTCATCAGATGGGTAAGAATCCTTGATTGGTCTTATAATTTCTGTTCCACCATTTTGCTGGCAATGACAATGACACTTTTTGTTCTAGAAAACAATATAAAAGATGATAGTTTGATAGTTGAAGAGTTTATTTCCAAAACGCTATATCCACCAATTTGTCACATTTGTGTTTTTTCATCAGAAATTATTGGTAATGGGTACCCTCATGTGTGTAAAATATTACTGTTCTCAGATGTTTTATTCATCGATTTTAAATGTATTTATTTTGCAAAACGCTATACACTGAGTGTACAAAACATTAAGAACTCCTTCCTAATATTGAGTTGCATGCAATGATAGATGTTTCCTTGGCTTTACAGATTAAGGCTATCAATGGAAGGGAAACTTTGGGGATTTTGTTTGACCACAGCCATTCTGCTCTGTGGCATTGGCTGCCAATACAATTCAAGTGAACATCGTAAGTTACGTTTTCCCTTGTAATGTAAACAACACCAAAATCATTTGATTGAATACTACATTTTTTATGCTCATCAGTCACAAAGGCATTGCATTTGATATTTATTCTTAAAAAGTGAACATTTAATTTCAAGGGGCTTAAATCTGATGTATTGCTAGTGCATTTCAAAAAGGGTTTCATATATATATATATATATATATATATATATATATATATATATATATATATATATATATATACAGTGGGGGAAAAAAAATTTTAGTCAGCCACCAATTGTGCAAGTTCTCCCACTTAAAAATATGAGAGGCCTGTAATTTTCATCATAGGTACACGTCAACTATGACAGACAAAATGAGGAAAAAAAATCCAGAAAATCACATTGTAGGATTTTTAATGAATTTATTTGCAAATTATGGTGGAAAATAAGTATTTGGTCACCTACAAACAAGCAAGATTTATGGCTCTCACAGACCTGTAACTTCTTCTTTAAGAGGCTCATCTTTCCTCCACTCGTTACCTGTATTAATGGCACCTGTTTGAACTTGTTATCAGTATAAAAGACACCTGTCCACAACCTCAAACAGTCACACTCCAAACTCCACAATGGCCAAGACCAAAGAGCTGTCAAAGGACACCAGAAACAAAATTCTAGACCTGCACCAGGCTGGGAAGACTGAGTCTGCAATAGGTAAGCAGCTTGGTTTGAAGAAATCAACTGTGGGAGCAATTATTAGGAAATGGAAGACATACAAGACCACTGATAATCTCCCTCGATCTGGGGCTCCACACAAGATCTCACCCCGTGGGGTCAAAATGATCATAAGAACGGTGAGCAAAAATCCCAGAACCACACGGGGGGACCTAGTGAATGACCTGCAGAGAGCTGGGACCAAAGTAACAAAGCCTACCATCAGTAACACACTACGCCACCAGGGACTCAAATCCTGCAGTGCCAGACGTGTCCCCCTGCTTAAGCCAGTACATGTCCAGGCCCGTCTGAAGTTTGCTAGTGTGCATTTGGATGATCCAGAAGAGGATTGGGAGAATGTCATATGGTCAGATGAAACCAAAATATAACTTTTTGGTAAAAACTCAACTCGTCGTGTTTGGAGGACAAAGAATGCTGTGTTGCATCCAAAGAACAGCATACCTACTGTGAAGCATGGGGGTGGAAACATCATGCTTTGGGGCTGTTTTTCTGCAAAGGGACCAGGACGACTGATCCGTGTAAAGGAAAGAATGAATGGGGCCATGTATCGTGAGATTTTGAGTGAAAACCTCCTTCCATCAGCAAGGGCATTGAAGATGAAATGTGGCTGGGTCTTTCAGCATGACAATGATCCCAAACACACCGCCCGGGCAACGAAGGAGTGGCTTCGTAAGAAGTATTTCAAGGTCATGGAGTGGCCTAGCCAGTCTCCAGATCTCAACCCCATAGAAAATCTTTGGAGGGAGTTGAAAGTCCGTGTTGCCCAGCGACAGCCCCAAAACATCACTGCTCTAGAGGAGATCTGCATGGAGGAATGGGCTAAAATACCAGCAACAGTGTGTGAAAACCTTGTGAAGACTTACAGAAAACGTTTGACCTGTGTCATTGCCAACAAAGGGTATATAACAAAGTATTGAGAAACTTTTGTTATTGACCAAATACTTATTTTCCACCATAATTTGCAAAGAAATTCATAAAAAATCCTACAATGTGATTTTCTGGATTTTTTTTTCTAATTTTGTCTGTCATAGTTGACGTGTACCTATGATGAAAATTACAGGCCTCTCTCATGTTTTTAAGTGGGAGAACTTGCACAATTGGTGGCTGACTAAATACTTTTTTCCCCCACTGTATATGTTTTTTTTTACAACAAATTTCTATTAGATCTTGTCCTTAAATGTATGCATTAACCGGCATTGTATATCCAGGTCATACAGTACTGATAGTGGACGATGACACATATTCAGGAGTCATTAGGAATGGGAAAGGTTGTGCATCTCAGACTAACTGTTCAGGTACAGTATGATAACTAACTAGTTAGTGGAGAGGTGAAACATTGCCAAAATATAAGCACATGTCAGTGCCACAGCTTAAGATATACATGGAGTATACAAAACATTAGGAACACCTTCCTAATGTTCAGTTGCACCCCCCCTTTTGCCCTCAGAACAGCCTATATTTGTTGGGGCATGGACCCTACAAGGTGTCGAAAGCGTTCCACAGGGATGCTGGCCCATATTGACTCCAATGCTTCCCACAGTTGTGTCAAGTTGACAGGATGTCCTTTGGGTGGTGGACCTTTCTTGATACACACAGGAAACTATTGAATGTGAAAAACCCAGCAGCGTTGCAGTTCTTGACACAAACCGGTGCGCCTGGCACCTTCTTCTATAACCCATTCAAAGGCACTTAAATATTTTGTCTTGCCCCTCTGAATGGCACACAAACACAATCATGTCTCAATTGTCTCAAGGCTTAAAAATCCTTCTTTAACCTGTCTCCTCCCCTTCATCTACACTGATTGAAGTGGATTTAACAAGTGACATCAATAAGGGATCATATCTTTGACCTGGATTCACCTGGTCAGTCTATGTCATGGAAAGAGCATAATGTTTCATAATGCTTTGTATACTCAGTGTACATTGCCTTCTTTCCAGATTGGATAGGGAATTGTACCTTACAGAAGGAAATCCTGGGGTTCTGCATCATATCCACTGGAGAGAACACAACAACATCAGGTAGTCTTACTTTCTGTAAAACCTTACGTCGATCTATAACCACTGTTACAGAGTCCAGTTATGGGTATTCAAAACATTCAAATTCATTTTATGAATACTTTGTTGTAATGCTGTATGTATCTTTAGAACAATGTCATCCAGGATTCCCCAACTGTACATTTGAAGTGAGGAAAGATGAACATTCACACATCATAACTCTGAGTAAAGATGTTGTCAACAAGAAAGAGCTCAACTTGTGGTTTCTACTGAGAAAGAACATCACGTGTAATCCATCACAGTTCTATCAAAATGCCACAGGTAAAGTAGATGTAATAATTTTTATTCGTAACATATACTTTTATCAGAGATGTTTGGATAACATAGCCAAGCTACTGCAGCCATTGAGGTGTAGGCTACAGCACACTGTACTTTTGGGGCAGTTTCATGTTTTGCATTCAATAACTGTTATATAGTGCCCTCTGCTGGTACATGCTAGATCAAACATACAAGTTCTGTAATGCAGCCCTATGGTCAGCCTACAACTACTGTTAAACTATTAGTCCTAACCTTTCAACGGGTTGTACATTTCCATTTAATTCCCATCAAAATAATACATCTACAAACACTTACACGAATAACCATAACATTATCAATTAGGCAAAACATTACAGCATATACAGTATGTGTTTCAGTATTAATTGTGTGTTCCAGGGTCTGTTCATTTGACTGTAATGCCTGCCTGTATAAATGGAGGTACGTTTTCAGACGCATGCATGTACTGCCATTCTTAGGGGCCCATATCATAAACAGCAGGAGAGATCTAACTGCATCATTTTATTTGTAACAGTTACTATTTTGATTTCAGTATGATTTAACCATGTGCTTTTGTAATTATCTAAAAGGTAATCAGACTACTCTGGTGAAGCCAGAAACCCTTTGTGGAAAGAATTCAACCTATGATGCAGATGCTTGCAGAAGTACAGTACATGCCAAATATTTATATACTGTCATAATGTTAAAATGAGTAATGATTTACTGTACTGTAGTTCTAATGAAGAAGTTCACACTAGACATTCAAATGTGGTCTGAGCAAAATGCATTGTTTTTGTTTTGATTGATTTGCAGATAAGACCCCAGATACATTCATTCTTAAGATCACTGCGAAGGTACCAAATAGTTGTCTAACATGTGACAACCCTGTTAAGAAGCCGGATACAAACATAGTTTTACCCGACTTCCAACAGGAAAGCTCAAGTGGGGTCATAAGTGCTGATTTGGCATCGTAAGTTTTTAGATTTAAGAAGCACATACAGTATACAATATATATACAAAAGTATGTGGACACCCCTTCAAATTAGTGGATTCGGCTATTTCAGCCACACTCGTTGCTGACAGGTGTATAAAATCAAGCACACAGCCATGCAATCTCTATAGACAAACATTGGCAGTAGAATGGCCTTACTGAAGAGCTCAGTTACTTTCAACTTGGCACCGTCATGGGATGGCACCTTTCCAACAAGTCAGTTTATCAAATTTCTGCCCTGCTAGAGCTGCCCTGGTCAACTATAAGTGCTGTTACTGTGAAGTGGAAACATCTAGGAGCAACAACGGCTCAGCAGCAAAGTGGTAGGCCACACAAGCTCACAGAACGGGACCGCCGAGTGCTGAAGCGAGTAGCGCATAAAAATTGTCTGTCCTCATTTGCAATTCTCACTACCAAACTGCCTCTGGAAGCACAAGAACTGTTTGCTGGGAATTTCATGAAATGGGTTTCCATGGCCGAGCAGCCGCACACAAGCCTAAGATCACCATGCTCAATGCCAAGCATCGGCTGGAGTGGTGTAAAGGTTGCCACCAATGGACTCGGGAGCAGTGGAAACACATTCTCTGGAGTGATGAATTACACGTCACCATCTGGCTGTCCGACGGACAAATCTGTGTTTGGCGGATGCCAGGAGAACACTACCTGACCCAATGCATAATGGCAACTGTAAAGTTTGGTGGAGGAGGAATAATGGTCTGGGGCTGTTTTTCATGGTTTGGGCTAGGCCCCTTAGTTCCAGTGAAGGGAAATCTTAATGGTACAGCACACAATAACATTCTACACGATTCTGTGCTTCCAACTTTGTGGCAACAGTTTGGGGAAGGCCCTTTCCTGTTTCAGCATGACAATGCCGCCATGCACAAAGCGAGGTCCATATAGAAATGGTTTGTCGAGATCGGTGTGGAAGAACTTGACCTGCCTGCACAGAGTCCTGAGACCTCAACCCTATCGAAAACCTTTGGAATGAATTGGAAAACCGACTGCGAGCCAGGCCTAATCGCCCAACATCAGTGCCCAACCTCACTAATGCTCTTGTGGCTGAATGGAAGCAAGTCCCCGCAGCAATGTTCCAACAACTAGTGGAAAGCCTTCCAAGAAGAGTGGAGGCTGTTATAGCAGCAAAGGGGGGACCAACTCCATATTAATGCCCATGATTTTGGAATGAGATGTTCGACGAGCAGGTGTCCACATACATTTGGTCATGTAGTGTATTAATACAGTAATACTAATAGTTTATGTGGCAACAAACATCTTCTGGTGGAGATGATGTAATAGTGGTGGCAACAATCATGTTGGTTTTAGGGGATACAATTTAGGGGATATGATTTAGGTTCATCACATCAAAGTCTAGACCATGGCAAACTCTGATCTCATCTATATTTCAATGTTCTCTCACTATGACAGTGAGGCTATGAAAAATCTCTCCTTTTTGACTGAGCGGATTGGAAATTTCAGCACTGCAACCATTTCAATGGGCAAGGTTAAAGGATTCCTTAGTAGACTTCATAAAGAAGACCCCAAAGATATCAACTTTGGCTTTTCCCCTAACAAGAATCTGAGTGTAAGTACAGTAACTTTATTACTAGAGGTAGAACAATGATTACTAATAGTCCGTTAACTTATTATGAAAGGAACTGTTTTATTCTTAAACAAAATGCTGAGAACTGTACACAGATTGATGAAGATTGAAATTATAATTATTCTCCTTTGTAGATTGTTGAAGACAGGTATGCTCTGAAGAAAGATTTCAATCAATCTGTGCGTGTGTCCAAAGAAGCCTATGACATGGCACTCAATAAGAGCGGAACTTTTGTCGGGATTCTTGTCTTTCCCAGCATGTCCCAGGTAAACATGAAAATTACTTTGACTAAAAGTTACTTTTTAAAAGCAGTAATTTAATATACTGTACTGTTAAGCATAAGAGGTAATCATGTTACAAGTGACAGGTTACGTTACACTTTATCCTTCCAACATGTCTTCTCCTCACTCTTTCCAGGATGAAAAGAAGAGCATTGTTCTAAATGGTGAGGTAGTTGGAATAGACATGGGAGTCCACATAGCTAATCTCTCAGACACCATTGATATTGAGTACAGAAATATTGACAAGGTAAGAGAGACATTGCATCATGTTACTGGAACATATTTTGATTAGTAAGCCTATGCATGAAATAATTAAGGAGTTATGCATAAATTATATGTTTTACACAGGTGGGATTCAATGTCTTTTGCAATTCTTGGAATGGCAAAGGTATTTATCTTTCTTTCTGTACATTTTCAAACCATTTGGTTCTTTTAATGTATAGAACATTGATCATTTAAAAGCCAAACATTCAACAACTTCCAACAGAGAGGATTGTGGAATATTTTTCTCTTTTAGGAAAACTACCCAATTGGACCACAGATGGATGTCAAACCTTGGAGAGCAACAATAGCATAACGTGCCAATGCACTCATTTATCATTTTTTGCTATACTAATGGTGAGACGTCCTCTCCATCATCTCCTGTTTAAAGTTATGTTTCTGTGACACTTTTAATCACATCCATAAGCTTATTCACTTCTTATTGTGATCATACACAGTCACCTCCACCAAATAACATCAGTGCCTCAGATGTGGCATCTCTAACCTACATTAGCTACATCGGCTGTGGATTTTCTATGTTCTTCTTGGGAATAGCTCTCTTCATGCAGTTTGTGATAAGGTATTTTTCATTATTCAACACAACACCGTACAGTGTGAGTATGATGACCAGTAGAGCTCTATAGCAGGGCTGACGAGCTAATTGAGAATACTGATGCTGAAACAACAAACTCTTTTCTCTTCTGGTTTCACAGCAAAACCAAATCTAGCCAAGCCACCAAGATCCTTGTCAACCTCTTCTTGGCTATGTTGTTCCTGAACCTGACCTTTCTGATCAACGAGACCATTGCAGCCATGGGGAGCTATGTTGCATGTGTCATCATAGCAGCAGTCATGCACTACTCCATGTTGTCCACCTTCACCTGGTTCCTCATTGAGGCAGTCCACTTGTTCCTGCAGCTGAAGAAACTCAACGCTAACATCAAACATTATATGCTGAAGGTTTACGTTGTGGGATGGGGTGAGAACAAAGTAATATTTGGGTGTATTAGAATGCTCCTCAATGTACATTATTGATTGACACAACATACAGATGTACTATCTTAATTTGATTACTCTGTTGTCGCAGAGAATTGTCCTGCAAAGCAGGAAATGCAAACTTGTAGTGTATTCTAGGTTTAAAAAGGCTTTTAAAGTTTGTAATATCTACTTAAAAATGATACACTTGACTAATGAAAAATGTATCAACCCCTACAATAATGTCCATTCATTATAATCCACACAATATTTCACATTTCCTTGTTGCTGCAGGATTATTTTCCTACTGTGAGAAACTATTCAAATTAAAACAGTATATCTGTGCCTACGGTTTTATCTCCTCTGATTGCACTAAATCATACCAGTTGCATCATGCATCTGGCATCAACCCAGTGTGAATGTTTCTCCTTTTCTCCAGTCCTTCCAGCTCTAGTGGTCATCGTCCTTCTGGGACTGGAAAAATATAAATTAATGTCCATAAAAACAGATGATGGGAATTCAGTGAAAATGTAAGTGGAAATTGGACTTTTGGAATTGTCTGTTCTTTGTCCTAAGGATATGATAATCAGAAACCATTTACCTCATCAACTGCTGAAATACATTTCAGGTGCTGGATCACTGACATCTACATCCATTATGGAGTCAACATCGGCTATTACGCCTGGGTGTTTGTCTGGACTTTGACCATCTTCATCATTGTAGTGAGACGGATCTTTTTCCTGAGGAAGACCAAGGCAGGCGAGGGCCAGAACGACCCAGCGTCCAAGAACACCCTGACCATCCTGGGGCTGCTCTTCCTGCTGGGCCTCACCTGGGGCTTTGCCTTCTTCAGCTTCGGACCCATGGTCATCCCATCCTACTACATCTTTAGCATACTCAACTCCTTCCAAGGTAGGCATCACTCAATAATGACTGGGGTTTAGTGTGTGGTTGTCCATGTATCATAGGGCCAGGACCTTTTGCCTAACCATGTGACCAGACCAGGTTAAACTTCCAGCTCTAGAGATTTTCCTGGTCAGGTCATGCTGTGTGTCATAGTTGATGTCTAAAGCCATTCCAGGACTGATAGTGACTGAGCTTCCATCTTTCTCCAGGCTTCTTCCTGTTCCTCTACTACTACAACACCAACACGATTGTTGGTGATGACAGGAACTCTGTATTCACCAACCAGAGCACCTCTACTTCTTCAAACATCTATGACGTCACTCCCAGTCTCAATAAGTAGCTTAGATCGGGGCCGTTGGTGTATCTTACAACATTAGGTTTATAATTGCAATACACTGAGCACAACCAATCATGACAAAATCAGGAAGTTTTTAAGATGTTTAATACTCTATTTAATAAATGAAAAGTATATATATTTTTTTAACTCTATTTCTATTTGCTTATCTTTGTGCAAGAATTACAAGAATTACTTATTTCTGTAATTTAGTTGTTTATATATAGTCCTTAAAAAAAATAAACACATTGAAAATGCTATCAATATCAATGTTGTTGTTACAGTATAGAATGTTACCAAAAGAATTTCGGTTTAAAGGGAAATTACAAAAATGTTCAACTTCATATTTATCATCTCCAGCACCACCCATCAACATAATGTGAAAATGGCACATTTCTATGTTTTGTAGTAAAAAAGATAGAGGAAGATAAGTGTTTCCAATGACATCATCAGTCAATTAGTAAACAATTAGTAGGTAATGCCTAATCATAATTGGTAAAAATCACATGATGCACACCGATGATGTCATTGGAAACACTTATCTTCCTCTATCTTTTTTTACTACAAAACATAGAATTGTGCCATTTTCACATATGTTGATGTTGGGGTGGTGCTGGAGATGATGAATATGAAGTTAACATTTTTTGAAATGTCCCTTTAAGGTAATGAAATCTTAATTACTGTATAGTAAATCAGTAAATCAGTTTGACACAAGGGGGCAGTCTTGTCCAACTTTAGATCTTACTATAGCGTGAGAGCTGATCAGCTACCTTCTCTCTCTCGCTCTCTCTCTCTCCCTCTCTCTCTCTCTCTCTCTCTCTCTCTCTCTCTCTCTCTCTCTCTCTCTCTCTCTCTCTCTCTCTCTCTCTCTCTCTCTCTCTCTCTCTCTCTCTCTGTATCTAAGTCTTCAGGGGTCTTGAATTCTGAATGAGCTCTCTGATAGGTGACCACCTCCGTGAAAAGGGGGCATGGTATCGGCTGAAACAAAGACAGAGAGAGTATTCTTTAGGGAGTCATTTGTGTGAATGAATCTTATATGTGTTATTCCAGCCAGCACAAATCAAATCAAGGTTTATTGGTCACGTGCACACCGTACAGTGAAATGTTTGCTTGCTAACTCTCCTCAACAATGCAGTTCAATAACAATAACAATATCAATCAAAAATAACAAGTAGTAATAAAAAGTTGAAGGAATTAATCAATAAAAACGTGTATGAGTAGAATGAACATACTAGAATATACAGTATGATTGATTTATCAAAATCAAGACTGTTTTATACAAGTAGTAAAGCAAGCTTAAATAAATAGTAATAATAAATAGTAACAGCAGTGGTGAATGTGTGTGTGTAAAACATTGAGGAAAGGCAGTGATTCACTCTGACTAGGCTAAATGAGAGACATCCAAAACCAAGGCATGCTTCAATCACTTGTTTCAATAAACAACAGTATGGACATCAAGAAAAACATGACCCTTCTATGAGTGATGTGGTTGACAAGTGGTCACCACCAGTGATGCGAACTTAGCAATTTTGTTGCTAGATTTAGCAACTTTTCAGACTACCCTGGCAACTTTCTTTTCAAACAGCACCTAGCAACAAATTCAGCTACTTTTAAAAATGTATTTGGAACTTTTAGCAACTTTTGAAAAGTGACTCAAATGCTAAAATGCACGCATGTTCCCTCTAAATGACACAGTCACAACACACGTGCCTGGCTGAAAACGTGCATTGTGAGCGACGTCACCAGCAGGCGATCAGCTCGTGCACAGGCAGCAGCAGGCCAGCCAAGCAGCACAACAACCTGGAGAGAGCTGGAGAGAGATGCCTAGCGCACACATCATTATTTGAGTTAAGTTTCTTGTTCAATAAGATAGCATATATACCTTGTTATTAGCTTGTACCTATAATTGTTGATCAGTTAGGTAGCATGTTAACTAACTACCAATACACTGCTTAAAACTATAATTGTTCAGAATGTGTAGGTTTACTAGTTAATAAGAAAATAAATAAAATGTAATTGTTCAATAATGTGTCATGTGTAATTGTTCAATAATTTAATGTGTTGTGTTTAAAAATAAAAATATCTGATCATATAAAATGTGTTGTGTTTATATTACTTTTACAAATAAAAATATGTGATAATAAATAAACAAATCTAAACTAACAAATGTCAAATCATATTTGTCGCCGAGACGCCAGTCAATTTGAGTAATGTTATTGTGTATTCTGCGTAATGACGCAGTTTTACGTTATGACGTCATCACGCAATGACATCACAACGTCATTTAGCAACTTTTAGCAACAAATCGATCTGCCTCTAGCAACTTCCCCTGAAAATTAGTTGGCAACACTGGTCACCACACACCAAAAGGAGGAACATGCAGTCTCACAGAGGAGGAAAAGGCCTTTCTGTAACTGCAGAGATAAAGTACCGCTTAGGGCTGCGCTAGCGCTTCGCGTGCCTGGAGAAAATGACCCAGTGCCTAGAGAGAGCTGTATCCACTGAGTGGGGATCTTAGCAGGCTAACCAGGAATGATCTCATGGTTACCTATAGTGATTAGCAGCCTGAAGGCAAGCCATTATACTGTTATCTTTCTCCTCAGTTTGTCTGCATTCCTGTAAGATCAGAGTGTGCAGTAACTTACATTTTGTATTGAGTACAGACAGACAAACTTGGTTTAGTGGTACAAAGCAAAAAAGGAAGAATTGCCGTAATGTATAAGTTGACTACTATATTGCAATCTATCTTCACTTTTACAATATTTTCTACTCTTCCTTTCTACAGTATTTGCCTCCACCATCCTTGAATGCATCTGTTACATTCTTCTAGCCTTGAAATCACAAGATCCGGCCTCATAAGGGGTGGCTTGTCTATGCTGAAACCATACAGGATCGTTTCAATGGCGTCTGCCCGCTGATACAATTAGTTGGCACAGTGGTCTGTGTGTGACCAGGTTCTGCTAAACTGACATTTGTGAGCATTGTTCCTGGAATGTGTGGGCCAGGACAGGATCTTACAGATGTGAAACTGTTTTTGTGAATCAAACTGACATTTGATGTGGCATCACTGGCATGCACTGAATCAGATCAGGAAGTAGTTGGGAGCGAGCACTCTGTGGATATTCCTGTTGTGCAATTCCACTCATAGTGATGATTTTTTTAGTCACAGTACTATCCTCAGTGGAAGCGTCACAGTACTATCCTCATAGTCCCACTTAACTAACACAGAACCTTGAGTGGAAGAGAACAAGCAGGAGTTTGTGGAACGAAATCCAGAGAGGCAACCTTGTTCATTTATCTAGAACTGATGAATCTTCCAAATGAGTTGGTGTGCCAGCCAAAAACTATAGGGTAATTACTGCATACATGTTTGATTAGGTATTGCTCAGAAAGGCCTCCTATATACAGCTACAACACAGCCTGACTCTGAGGTGAGCCTGGCCCTGCATGTGTCTGCCTCTCTGGCCTTGCAACATACAGTACTCTGTGGAGAGGCATCCTGCTGCACTCTGAAGCAGCTCAAATAAAATCACAATGTCAAATCAAATCAAATTTGTGCTGCACATTAGTCATGGTGGCTTCAAATACAAAATCACATTTTCCACAACAATGTTGAGGAACTCTGAAGAAAACTCAACATAATGATTTATTTGTATTTATTTTCTCTATTTTCTCTCTATCTGTGTTTATCGAAATGTCTGTCTTAAAATGTGGCAGTTAATGATTAACTCTCTAGTATATTGACTTGGACCAATAAGGGCTGATTTCTGTTTTTTGCTATTGTATGTAAGTCCCTGCTGAGGCTACATTTCAGAACAATCTGACAGATGTTCTAGTGCCTGAACATATGGCTTGTGAAGTGCAGAAACGATAAATTAATCATGTTAAAACTTTGGGACACAATCTCCATAACTTATATGGCTGCCTGAATGTTTTAAAAAATATATGAAGAAGCGACAACGAATGTTCATTTTAGCCATAATTCCACATTATTATTTGTTACCAGAGTAAAAAAAAAGGTCACCACAATACAATTGATACATGTGTTTCCTTTAGTGGAGGAAAATTGAGGAAACACTTTTAATTGCTCTCAATCTATTAAGTCTTGTAAGCCCAAATGTACAGTTGAGGTTTGGATAAGGCCCAATGTGCATTTCAACACTGGCATCCATCTCCAGAACTCTCTGACAGATAATTAGAAAAAGGAAAAAAGGGGAAAAAAAAAAGGGAAAAAACCCCGGGGGACCCGGTTGGCCAAAAAAAAAAAACCAAAAAAGGGAATTTTTTTTTTTAAAAAGCCAAAACCCGACAACCCCGGGGAAAGGGGGGGGGGGGGGGGGGAAAAAAAAAAAAAAAAAAAAAAAAAAAAACAGCTACACCCCGAAAACAGAAACAAAAAAAAAAGAAAAGGGAAAAACCCAAACAAGGGGCCAGGGAAAAAAAAGGGGGGGGGAAAAAAAACAACCAAAAAAAAAAAAGGGCCAGAGGAAAAAAAAAAAGGAACCCAAAACGGGCCCAGGCCGGGAAAAAAAAGGGAAACACCCGGCCCAACCCAAAATTCCGAAAACCCAAAAAAAGGGGGAAAAAGGGCATGGGGAAAAAAACCACCCAAACCCGAAGACCAAAAAAAAAAACCCCCAAGCCCGGAAAAGGAAAGGAAAAGCAGAAGAACCAGAAAGACGGGACAGAAGCGAACAGAAGAAGCCCCGGGGAAACAAAAAAAACCAACAGAGCAGGGGGGGGAAAAGCAAAAACAAAAACTGAAAAAGAAAAATTTGGGGCCCTTAAAATTTTTTAATGGGGAAAAGGAAAAAAAAGAAAAAACGACAAACAAAGAGAAACCCAAACAAAGAAGCCCAGAAAAAAAAAAGGGGAAAACCACAAAAAAAACAGCCAGAAAGAAAAAACAGCCAACAAAGAAGCCCAAAGAAAAAGGGGAAGGGGAAGAAAAAACAGGCACCCCCAGAACCCACAGAATAAGAGGGGGCCCCCCACCCAGAAAAGAAAAAGAGAACGCCCAGAAGACAGAAAACAGACGACAGACGACAGAAAAGAAACAACAGAAAAGACAGAAAAAAGGGAGAAAAACAGACCAAGGGAAAAAGAAAAAACACAGAGAGAAAAAAACAGACAACAGGGGACAAACAACAGACAAAGAGAAAAAAGACAGAAAACAGAGACAGACAAAACAGGAAACAGGACAGCAGAAACAGACATACGGGAAGAAGAGAAACGACAGACAGACAGGAAACAGGACAGCCCGACAGAGGAAAGACAGACAGACAGGAACAGACAAAACAGACCCAGACAGCAGAAACAGACAGACAGACAGACAGACAGACGGGACCAAAAAACCGACAACAGAAGATGCTTATTTACGACAGAACAAGGAAACGACAACAGACAGACAGACAGAAACAGACAGACAAGACAGACGAAATAGACAGAAAACAGAGGACAGGGAAAACACGACGACAGACAGAAGGCAACAGCAGACAACAAGAACGCAGACAGATAATTAAGAGAGCAGAGCATCTAAAAAACAACAGCAGAAACAGGAAACAGACAGAATACAGACGACATAAGAAGGCAGACACGAGAAACATACAGTAACAGACAGAAACAGGCAGACAGAACGACAGTACTCGACAAACCAGGGAAGACAGGAGAGACAGACAGACAGACAACAGACAACAGACAGACCAACAGAAGCGACGGACGACAACGAACAGACAGACGAGAAACGAGACAGACACATAGACAGACAGAGAAAGACAGACAGACGAGAACAGAGAAGAAGCAGACAGACATTTCAACAGCAATCTCCATAACATCTGCAGATAATAAAGAAGAAGCTTACCTTCCACTTTTGAAAGAAGCGCAAAGAAAGGACAGCAGAATACAGATCAATAAGACAGAAACAACAGGTAA